TATATCAATATTTTTATCTCTTTCTATTCCACAGCTTATTCACCCTTTTGAGCTCGTTCTCTGTCTCTTCATACCTCCTTCCCTTTCTCTCTTTGCCATCTTCGTCTTCATTTTCGTATACTCGTTCTCCCTCCTCTTTTAGACTTTTCTCTGTTTATGTCTCTCCTTCTCTCTCTTATCTTTCTCAAGTAAAAACACTTAAACTTAATTTCTCATTCGCCTTTTTTTTTGTTAACTTACCATAAACAGGCCAAGCAAGATAATGAAGAAGTAGGTATTTTTTCTCAACATCTTCGTAAGCTTACCTCACTTGCAAGGGGAGCTTCTGTCTCCTCGCAAAAGTCCCGAAGGTAATTTTGTTTTACGGTCCCGTTTAATTACAAGTAACTGTTCATTACCCTTTGCTAATTAATATCTTCGGCGAAAGATTTATTGGTTGCGGAGCTCGAGAATTTTAAAGATTTTTTTTTTCTCGTGCGTTTTCCACCCACTTTTGAGCAGCTGGGAAACTTAACGGAGGTCTGAGTGAACGATAGAACTTTGCGGTTTAGAAAAGAATTAGGTAAATGAGGTGGAGTGCTGGACGAAGAAGAGAAGGAGCAGGACGGAGAGAATAAACGCGTAAGATGTGTTTATGAAGGCCTTGTCTCGGCAGCCAGGACGCATTTGTCAGCCGAGACGTGAGAAGGGGGGAGAGGATGGGAAGGGGAGGGGTGAGGGGAGGGGAAGAGGAGCCCCCCTTGCTGCCGTTGTGTCGTCGTCCTCTTCTTCCTCGGTTCTCCCCTCTCCCCTATTCCTTTCTCCCTCCCCCCTCACCCCCCTCTCCCCCTCCTCTCGCTTCTAAAAGTCCTTGCTTCCGGCCTGTTGTCATGCCCTACGCGGGAGAGGAAATTGTGAAGGGGGAGACAAAAATGCTGGAAATGGGGAAGATAATTTCATTGTGCGGCGGGCAAATAGGTTTTGGGTTACGGTGTTGTCGGGTGAGTGAGTATTGGTGCTCCGAGGGATGTTCTCTGGGAATGGCAGAAAATACTGGTAAGATATGTTATATTATTTTGAAGTCGTATAATCATTATACAGTACAGATTCGTTGAAAAAGACAGGCAAATCTGTAAGTAATACAACAAATACTGTACAGTCCATACTGCTGAGTGAGAGGTTATCGGGAAAGGCGAAAATCTTCGGGAAAATACCTCCCTAATTCGGCTCCCAAAAGTTTCCATGTCGTACCATGAACACGTAGGACATACTCTTATATTTTGGCATATTTGAGTACATTTATCGGGCGTGATTTATAATGTTCGGGGACAGTGATGACATCATAATCATAATAAAGCATAAACGATTGAATACGATTTTATTTATCAACACTTTATTTTTTTGACTAGATAGAATTTTTAGTTCTATAACATTTGTAAAAGTTATTGACATCACTCTAAATTTCACAAACAAAATGTTCAATCACCCCGTTTTCCCGTTTAGTAAAAGTTAGGAAGGGGAAGAATAAAAGCGAAAATTACAAGCCGAAGGAGGCGAAAGACAAACCCAAAAGTCGAAATCTCAACATACCAAAATGACAGTAAATGTTTCAAGTATTTTTTCTTCTCCCTCTCTTGCCGCGGAAGGTATTTCCAAGCAACTAATTTTCAGGCTTAACGTTAAACCCCTTTTCATTTCCGACCAAAATGCCAAAAAACTACCACCCCCCCTCAAAGAAAAAATAATTAAACGGTTTCATGTTATAAGTGGATGTTGCGGTTAACCTAATAACCTAATTAAGTTCTTTGCATTACCGAAAACCTAATTGGCAAGAAAAAAGGGAAAAAAAGAGAACAGATTTTCCTTCCTGTCGACGGAGTTAGACGTTCATGAAGCTGGGAGATAGAATGAGCGGCTCGGAGGTCATGTACACTCATGTCAGGTGATCCCCGAGGATTAGCGAGGGAGATGTCGAGGAATTCCACCTCTGCCATTCCCGCTTCTCGCTGCCTCTCCGTGTCTGCCTGTCTGGCTGGCCCTCTCTCTGTCTTTCTGTGCCTCTGTCGTCTGTGTGTCTGTCTTACTTTCCCCCCCCCACCTCTCTGTCTCTCTCTCTCTCTCTCTCTCTCTCTCTCTCTCTCTCTCTCTCTCTCTCTCTCTCTCTCTCTCTCTCTCTCTCTCTCTCTCTTTCTCTCTCTCTCTTTCGTAGTCATTATATTTGTCTCTTTCCCCTCTTTCACTGTCTCATGAAAACTGCAAACTGGACTCATGCATATAAAGTTGTATGATTTTGTTCTTTTGCTTTTATCATCACAATATCTCCCTTCTTTGTTCATGGCAACTTCGGATCTCCCTTGCATTTTGCAATTGCTCGAATACCTCAGCAAGCAGGATGTTCCGACTGTGGTTAGTGACCACTCTCTATTTTTTTTCTTTCCTTGTTCAAATTGTGTTGTCTGTCCCCGTCCTGACGCCACGTCTCTCCCACACGTGTTCAGAGGTGTGAACAATCTCATAAGGTACAGCTTCCTTTGTGCTGGAACAGGTTGGGAACGACTGTCGTGGGAAGTTCTGCGGCGTGGGGTCCGAGGGGGTGCTGAGTCGTCGGCGGCTGGTCGTTCGGTTTGGAGAGGGAGAGGTCGTTGCTGCGTTTTTTTTCCATTTTTTTAGATTTTTTTTTTGTGTGTGTGTGTCGTTCGGTGGTTGTCGGTAGCGTGATATTTTGTATGTTGAGTGCGGGGGAGGGGGTGTTATCATGCCTTCCTCTACTGCTTTCTCTTTTCTTGCAGCCTTGGATGAATCTCTCTCTCTCTCTCTCTCTCTCTCTCTCTCTCTCTCTCTCTCTCTCTCTCTCTCTCTCTCTCTCTCTCTCTCTCTCTCTCTCCCTCTCTCTTTCTCTCTTTCTCTCTCTCTCTCTCTCTTTCTCTCTCTCTCTCTCTCTCTCTCTCTCTCTCTCTCTCTCTCTCTCTCTCTCTCTCTCTCTCTCTCTCTCTCTCTCTCTCTCTCTTTCTCTCTCTCTCTCCCCTCTCCCTCTCTCTCGCTGTTGTTCTCCTACTCCCTCACTCTTCCCTGCTTCACTGTCTTCTCTTGTTCTGTATCTACAAATATTTCTCCCCTTTCCCCCCCCCCCCCACCATCTACTTCCCCGGCATTAAACTCACACACGTAGCGTCTTTGCCGTCTTCCATGCCCAGACCTTTATTGAATAAGAAATATGATACAAAGCCAACACAAAGGAAACAATTACAGCCCGTGCAAAAATAAATAACAGATTAATAACCCATGTTTTTATAAGTTGTGCAATAACTTAAGATCCATTTTCTCACAAAAGGAAGGAGTTAACAACGGGTTTTACAAGGTCCTGGCTTCCATTACGCTCCTTTTACTGCTGCCTTGCCACTGCACAGCGTAACAGCTTTACTTTTGTCTCCCCTTCAAATGCGTATCATTATCTCAATTACCGATATATGGCCAATTTGTGAAATAACTAGGAGGGTTGATCGCTGTCGGTTTTTAAAAGCAATCTGAATTAATGTTGGCTGTTTATTTTAGTGTGCGTGCAGTGTATTCATTTGTTTGGATGTTGAAGGCTGGCGGTGATATGTGGAGTGAAATGATCTTTATTGGAAGGATACATTGAGTTCTTGTTGCTATGATTTTTTAGTTGATTTTATTCAGTTTTATGTTTTTAATCCACTTTGTGAGCTATCCATGTGTCTTTATATCTGATAGGCGAATGCAAATTTCGAATAAATGAATAAAACGTAGGCTGGAAGCTTAGTAAACCCCACATCAGACTTGTGGATTACGAGAGTCTTGTAAGATGGCAGTACGTAATGCTATTTAACAATGTTTGTCAGTCATATGAGCTGCCAATGAGTTTTAACCACTATCTCATGAATTTTCCGTGAGTGGAAAGGCTGGTGCCACTTGCTTCTTGTAGAGGGTGGAGTGGCTAGGGTAATAATCTGACTTGTATAATTTTCTTATGTAGATTTTAAATTTTGGTCATATGCTTGTGTGATTTACATACCCTCCAAGTACATTATCTACTTTTGATCTTTATTTTGCAACACTGGTGTCTGTTTTAACACATTATATTCTTCCTTGCATAGGAGGCTCACCGGTGATCAAGGAGCACCCAAGCAACGTGGTGGCGCGGCGCAACGACCCCGCCACCCTCAACTGCGCCGCCTCCGGAGCCAGCCGCATCCGCTGGTACCGCGACGGCGAGGAGGTGACGACGGCGGCGGAGGACCCGCGCTCCCACCGCGTCCTCCTGCCCTCGGGCTCGCTGTTCTTCCTGCGCGTGGCCACCTCCAAGAGGGACAGCGACGCCGGAACCTACTGGTGCGTGGCCTCCAACAGCCACGGCGCCACGCGCTCCCACAACGCCACCCTCACCGTGGCCACGCTCGCCTACGACTTCCAGAGCCAGGCCGACCCCGTGGTGAGGGCGCGCGTCGGGGACTCTCTGGCCCTGCCGTGCCGCCCGCCCAAGGGCTCTCCGCCCCCCGAAGTCACCTGGCTCAGGGACTCCCACGAGGTCACCAACTCCAGCCGGATCTTCGTGACACAAGCGGGCGATCTTGTCATCAGTCAGGCCGTCGAGGAGGACTCGGCCTCCTACGTGTGTCGCGCCCGCAACGCCGCGGGCGCCCGGGAGTCCACGCCCACCAAGCTCACCATCATGAGTAAGTGTCCTTCCCGTTCCCTGAGTTCTATTGAATAGCTGTGAGCATATGAATTCCCCCTAAAGCCTTCGTCCTCAGCCCTAACGGAGTTCTCTTCCCCGCAGCGCCGCCCTGGTTCGAGGAGCGTCCGGCGAACGTGACCGTCGCGTCGGGCGTGGTGGTGGAGCTGGCGTGCCGCGCCCGAGGCTCGCCCACGCCCACGGTCACCTGGCGGCGTCTCGACGGCAAGATGCCGCTCGGCCGCGCTATGATCGAGGACCAGAGGCTGGTGCTGGACCACGTGGCGGCTGCCGACTCCGGCGTGTACGTGTGCGAGGTGGAGAGCGAGGCAGGGATCGCCGCGGCCAGGGCCACTCTCACCGTGATCGACGCCCCCGAGTTCGCTCAGCGGCCTCAGGATATTCAGGTGGTGGCTGGCCAGAGCGCCAGGCTCTCGTGCAAGGTCGAGGGCGATCCCAAGCCTCTCCTGCTGTGGCGGCTTCCCACCCAGGACAGGACTGCCCTGCTCGCCGCGGGACAGAGCAGCGGCCACGCCTCCGTCGCCGACGAAGGCCAGACTCTCCTGCTCGGTGACGTCAGCACGCACGACAGCGGGGCCTACTACTGTTGGGGCGTCAGCAGCGGCGGTGGCGTCAGCGCTCGCTCAGAGGTGGTGGTCGTGGCGGCGTATCCCCCTCCTGTGATCGGCGTAGGACCCCAGGACCTCACGGTGTCCCCTGGGGGCGCCGCCACCTTCCCCTGCGAGGCCGTGAGTGAGGCCGCCTCGCCCTCCATCTCCTGGAAGTACCGCCCGGCCGCCCATCTCCCCGCCCGGGAGCTCAGCGAGGGTGTCAACGGCGGCCGAGTGTCCTTCCCGGCCAACGGCGCCCTCATCCTGAAGGACGTCCGGGCCGATGACGCCGGCATCTACAGCTGCCACATCAGCGCTGACACCGGCAGCGTGGAGCAAGCGGCGGTCCTGCGGGTGGAGGACGGCGCCCAAGACGCGGCGCCGTTCCTGCTGCCGGCGCCGCCGTCCAAGCCGCGCCTCATGGCCGTCAACCAGACCGCTGTGCACCTGAGCTGGCTGCCCAACTCCCAGATGGGCGGAGGTTCCGACCAGACGTACACGGTGGAGTTCTGGCGCCAGGGCTGGGAGGAGTGGCGGGTGGCGGACGCCCTCATCTCGCAGGAGTCGTGTGTGGTGGGCGGGCTGACGCCTGGCCACACCTACACCTTCCTGGTCCGTGCCGTCGACTCGCGAGGGGCGTCGTTCCCGAGTCCCTGGTCCGACCCGGTCACGACCCGCTCTCCCCGCGACCCGAGTCTCACGGAGGACGAAGTCCGTCACGTCCGCCGCCGCCTCTCGCGCCCCGCCGTCACGCTCACCGACGCCACAGTCACCGCCCCCGACAGCGTCCTTCTCAGCTGGGAGTTCCTCGCGCTGGCGAACGAGGCCGTCGAGGGCGTGCTCGTGTACGCTGTCAGCGATTCGGGCGCCGTGCAGGTGGCCACCGTGCTTGGCACATCGTCGTCCTCACACCTCATGCACGAACTTCATCCCAACTCCCAGTACACCTTCTTCCTCGTCCCCTTCTGGCACAGCGTCGAGGGCACGCCATCGAACTCCATGTCGCTGCGGACTCCACAAGATGGTGAGTAGCATTTCTTCTTTCTGACTCCATTTTTTTTTATTATTATTATTTTTTTGTTAAAGTTAGTCTATATGATTTTTCGTGCTTTCTGCGTCAGCTATTTCTAAAGTATTTCCTTTTTTATTCCACAGTTCCACTGGTGGCTCCTAAGGACGTGCGCGTGAAGACCCGCGAGGAAGGAACTGTACTCATCACTTGGTCGACTCTGACGCCCGAGGAAGCTCGAGGCGAAGTCGTTGGTTACCAGGTCTCCTTCAACTTCAACGGCAGCCGCACCATCGAGACGGTGCCCAACCCCTGGCTCGAAGCCGATGGCTTGATGGCTGGTCGTCTCTACGCCGTCCGGGTCGCCGCTCTTACCGAGGTCGGACCTGGCCCCTTCACCTCCCCGGTACTGATGGACACTGGGCTCTCGCACAATCACCCTCGTCGCCAAAACAATGATAGCAACTCGCCCTCTGTATTATACTCACCACCACAGCCTGCCTGGCTAATTTACTTGTTAATACCTGCGGTGTTGCTGATGTCAGTTGCCACTTTGTTCTATGTACGTCACCTGCGAGGAAAGTCAGCAACCTCTAACCCATCCCACACTCCGTCTATATACCAGGATGCGTCCCTGTACTCTGCCCATCACTCCATCAACATGTACAGCGAACAGAAGCTGTGGCGACCTTCCGACTACGACAAAGACATCAACGCCTCCTCCAAGAAACTCCTCCATCCGGAATATGAATACGCGGAGCCCAGGATTCAGAAAATCCACGAGACGACAGAGCCCTACGCCACTACAGCTCTGTTGGCCTCCTCTCCGCAAGGCTCGGGATACCGGAGTCCTTGGATCCACCAGAGTGACGATTCCGGAGTGCAGGTGAACTGGACAGAATTCCTGCCTCCCCCTCCAGCTTGTCCTCCGCCGCGGGATTTTGACCTGGGTGACTTGCCAAGGGGAAGAAGAAGTTACCTAGAGAAGGGGTCTCCGCTATCAACGTCAAAATACGATAACATGGACGAATCGGAGCAGTATGAGCGACCGTGTGACGTAGCGCCCACCCACTGTTACGCGGCTTACGGCCCGGTGTCGCCTACTGGCAATTGTGGCAAATTCCCAACGTTCAACACACTCCAGGCGTTAGAATACCGGAGAGTTCGCACAGAATTCAGACCGCTGTATCAGGCAGACCCTCCTAGAA